GCGTGCTAGCCGTGCCGAATACCCTCTTTTGATTAATCTAATTGTATTTCTTATCGCTGTGAGATGCTGCCGACTGCAGATCATTCCTTTAATTCTTAACAGGTTTTGCTGGAGGAAAGAAAGAAAACAATCGGGGAACAGGAAAGGAATACAAGAAGAGAAAGAATTTCTGGAGGTAAGGGTGGTCAAACTGTGTTCTCGATCAAGGGTCTGGCATTAAAAAGCAACAGGTGTTCTTTAAGGCCGGCCATACATGGGTTGAAATTTGACCAATTTTTCGGCCGAAAATCGGACCTAAGAATAATCGGCCAATAAACCGAAAATTACATTAACCGAGGCATTCGTAAACCGAGGTATGCCTGTACCTGGTCCATTCAAGCATGTGACTTACTTCATGCGACAGCACTGAGCCAACCAGTACTGTCACAAGGGAAGTCTGTAGCCCTGTCTATGCAACAACATTGATGGCTGGTAGCTTACATGCCAGCTCTGCTTTGCTGAATGGAATGGCGGGGGAGTGAAAGGGAGTTAAGTATATGCTGCTGAAGAGGTCTGCATTAAAGTGTTACTAAAACCCCCCAGACCCCGCATTCACTATATCTCCCCGGGTCTCACCCCGGACCCTGCATTCACTATATCTGGTCTCCCCGGACCCTGCATTCACTATATCTGGTCTCCCCGGACCCTGCATTCACTCACTATCACTATATCTGGTCTCCCCGGACCCTGACCCTTCATGGTCATTCACTATATCTGGTCTCCCCGGACCCTTCATTCACTATATCTGGTCTCCCCCGGACCCTGCATTCACTATATCTGGTCTCCCCGGACCCTGTATTCACTATATCTGGTCTCGCCGCCCTGCATTCACTATCTCGAGCCGCCCTGCATTCACTATATCCGGTCTCCCCGCCCTGCATTCACTATATCTGGTCTCCCCGGACCCTGCAGTCACTATATTCGGTCTCCCCCCCCCTGCATTCACTATATCCGGTCTCCCCAGACCCTGCATTCACTATATCCGGTCTCCCACAGTACACACAACATGAAAATGCTTTTATTTTAGTAAATATAAACTGCTAAATACCTTTTCTTATCAGCAGTCTTGTGACTGTCCTATGAGGCTGTCCTATGAGGCTGCATGACCCCTGACCCTTTGTCTGGACCATGCTGATTGGCTCATTGCTGATCGCATGCATCCTCCCAAAGAAAAAAAAAAGTTCTCTAGCAATACACACCAAACTGAACATGTACAGCTTGCCTCTAAGGCTCTGTTCTATCAGCAGAAGGATTGGGGAGAGTCAGGGGCGGACTGATAACTCATGGGGCCCCTGGGCAACAGGAAATCATGGGGCCCCTGTGTCCTTGCCCAAACTCAAAAAAGTCTATGAAAAATGTACCAGAGCATCTCATGGGGCCCCCTACTGACCCTGGGCCCTTGGGCAGTGCCCGAGTTTCCAAATGGTCAGTTCGCCCCTGGGGAGAGTAAAGAAGGTGAGGATCAGAGAAGACAGGATCAAACAGCCTGTTTACACAATGCAAAGAATTAACCCCTTAGGTTCCACAGTGGGTATAACAAGCATGCTTTACTGTATATACATTTTACTGTTGTAGGTTTAGTAACACTTTAAAGTAAACTGAATGGGCAAAGTAAAGATTGCCTTTAAAGTGTGTAGCCACCCTAACTTAAACAGGAGTCTCTATTCAAATGCAGTATTTTCTAGGTTATAGTCAGCCTGAACCGAATTGATATATATAACCATCAAAGTGCCTCACTTCACTAAATTAATAAATGTTATCCCAGTATATACAGTGGGGCAAAAAAGTATTTAGTCAGCCACCAATTGTGCAAGTTCTCCCACTTAAAAAGATGGGAGAGGCCTGTAATTGGCATCATAGGTAGAAACTCAACTATGAGAGACAAAATGAGAAAACAAATCCAGACAATCACATTGGCTGGTTTGGAAAGAATTTATTTGCAAATTATGGTGGAAAATAAGTATTTGGTCAATATGAAAAGTTCATCTCAATACTTTGTTATTTATCCTTTGTTGGCAATGACAGAGGTCAAACGTTTCCATTAAGTCTTCACAAGGTTGGCACACACTGTTGCTGGTATGTTGGCCCATCCTCCATGCAGATCTCCTCTAGAGCAGTGATGTTTTGGGGCTGTCGCTGGGCAACACAGACTTTCAACTCCCTCCAAAGTTTTTCTATGGGGTTGAGATCTGGAGACTGACTAGGCCACTCCAGGACCTTGAAATGTTTCTTACGAAGCCACTCCTTCGTTGCCCGGGCGGTATGTTTGGGATCATTGTCATGTTGGAAGACCCAGCCACGTTTCATCTTCAATGCCCTTGCTGATAGAAGGAGGTTTGCACTCAAAATCTCACAATACATGGCCCCACTCATTCTGTCCGGTACATGGAGCAGTCATCCTGGTCCCTTTGCAGAGAAACAGCCCCAAAGCATGATGTTGCCACCTCCATGCTTCACAGTAGGTATGGTGTTCTTTGGATGCAACTCAGCATTCTCTCTCCTCCAAACACGACGAGTTGTGTTTCTACCAAACAGTTCTATTTTGGTTTCATCTGACCATATGACATTCTCCCAATCCTCTTCTGGATCATCCAAATGCTCTCTAGCAAACTTCAGACGGGCCCGGACATTTACTGGCTTAAGCAGGGGGACTGTCTTTGGAGTGTGACTGTTTGGGTTGTGGACAGGTGTCTTTTCTACTGATAACAAGTTCAAACAGGTGCCATTGATACAGGTAATGAGTGCAGGACAGAGGAGCCTCTTAAAGAAGAAGGTACAGGTCTGTGAGAGCCAGAAATCTTGCTTGTTTGTAGGTGACCAAATACTTATTTTCCACCATAATTTGCAAATAAATTCTTTCCAAATCAGCCAATGTGATTGTCTGGATTTGTTTTCTCATTTTGTCTCTCATAGTTGAGGTCTACCTATGATGCCAATTACAGGCCTCTCTCATCTTTTTAAGTGGGAGAACTTGCACAATTGGTGGCTGACTAAATACTTTTTTTGCCCCACTGTATACCGCCATTTGTAAACGCTATAACTTTCACGTCAACCAATTAATTTAAAAGACATGGAGCAGAATACATTTTGGCCAAAATTTATGACGAAATTAGATTTTTTACATTCTTTTACTGGACATGTTATTATAGCAGAAAGTCCAAAATATTGTTTTTTTCTCAAAATTGTCAGTCTTTTTTTTTATAGCACAAAAAATAAAAAATGCAGAGGCAATCAAACACCACCAAAAGGAAGCTCTATTCGTGGGAAAAAAGGGCATAAATTTCATTTGAGTGTAGCGTTGCATGACCGCGCAATTGTCAGTTAAAGTACCTCAGTGCCGTAACGCAGAAGATGGCCTGGTCAGAAAGGGGGGGAAATCCTCAGGAGGGCAAGCTGTTATCGGCTGGGACCTGCTTATTGACAGCTGCAGCAAAGTATATATATATGTGTGTGTGTGTGATTTTGAGCACCCGTGCTGCTCTGCAGCAGTATTTCTGCTATAGGGTGGTCAGGAAGCGGTTAAACACAAAAGAAACAAATGAATCCCTGGAAACAAATCCTATTGAAGTGTTAAGGGTCTTATGCTATACAATAAAGGGGTTAAAGGGGTCCAACACCTACCCTGCCCCATGGGCACCTATGGCTCAACAGCTAGGTTTGAGCACTGACAACATCTAGGGGACTTTCTGGTTCTGTGGATTGCAAACTAGCAACTGCCAGGCATTTTTTTAGGTCACCAGCCACTGGCGATTCAATGGGTACAAATAAAGGACTAACAACACGATAGATCTAGTCCTATGTCTAAGACTGATTCAGCCAATACAGAGGAATACAATACATCTACTAGTTTTGCTTTATGTTCCCCTCACCATTGAAGAATGACATGCAGTATATACGTTTGTAACAGGAGCAACCTAAGCGAAGCTGAAAGATTTGACATTCTAAAGAATCTGCCGGTCTCAGATGAAAACATTTCCATTTCCAGTATGAAAACACTAAAAGAAAGAAGGGCCGGAATCTACGATTCCAGGACAAGTGGGTGTCTAGATGGAAGAGTTAGCTTGTTCTTCGGCTGAGGACGGGGCTAACTGCAAATGCGGTGTAGCTTTTCCTAAGTCGGGAGCTGGAATCAATGTTCATCCTCTTGCCTCCCTATGTAAGAGAAATTCATAAACCGGAAAAAGAGGAGTTTGTAAAACATTCTGCCACCCAATCAAAATTGTATCAATGTCAGGGATTGCTTATTTTTCTTTAGAAAAATAAATCCCTTAAAAGTTTGTGGAAAGCCAGCTGGCCACAGAAAACCTGAGAAAAGTATCTGAGCATACAAATAAATTCCTATAAATGATTACTTTTTGTGGAAGGTGAGAACTTGCCCAATTCCACACATTTTTAAAAATTAGTGTTACTAAACCCACAACAGTAAAATCAGTCTGTAGATGCAGTAAAGCATGCTTGTTATACTCACTGTGGAACCTAAGGGGTTAATCCTCTGCATTATGTAAAAAAGCTGTTTGATCCTGTCTTCTCTGATCCTCCCCTTCTATTGTCCCCAATCCATCTGCTGATAGTACAGAGCTCTAAGACACACTCTGCACATGCTCAGTTTAGCGTATATTGTGTAGCACTACCCCCTTGGGAGTTGCTGAGTAGTTGGGTCCCCCTATAGTCCTGCAAAGCCAAGCAACATGCTTTTTCACAGCAACTTGCATTCAGGAAACAGTAACCAGTCCTGGAGCTTGTTTTGAAGTTTTAGAACAGAGCCTTGGGGGCAAGATGCACATGCTCAGTTTGGTGTGTATTAGTAGATTTTTTTTTTTCTTGGGAGAGTGCATATGTGATCAGCACAAGGCCAATCAGCACTGTCTAGACAGAGGGTCAGTGGTTATGTAGCCTCATAGAAAAGGTATTTAGCAGTTTATATTTACTAAAATAATTGCATTTCCATTATGTTTGTGTACTGTGGGAGACCAGATATAGTGAATGCAGGGTCCGGGGAGACCAGATATAGTGAATGCAGGGTCCGGGGAGACCGGATATGGTGAATGCAGGGTCCGGGGAGACCAGATATAGGGAATGCAGGGTCCGGGGAGACCAGATATAGGGAATGCAGGGTCCGGGGAGACCAGATATAGTGGATGCAGGGTCCGGGGAGACCGGATATAGTGAATGCAGGGTCCGGGGAGACCGGATATAGTGAATGCAGGGTCCGGGGAGACCAGATATAGTGAATGCAGGGTCCGGGGTTTAGTAACACTTTAAGTTACTGGGCTGATGTACATAATGATTAAAGAACAGTTTTAGAAAGTCCTAGAAAAAGGCATAAGAAACACAAACCATATTATTATACAAAATGAAATCAGAGAGGCATGTAATGTAATAATTCTCAACAAACTTGTAGAAAAAGTTAATAAACGAAAGTACTTTTCTGTATTACTTGATTAGACTGCAGATATCAATGGGGTCCAACAGGCCTCTCTTGTGTTTGGTATGTTGGCTTTGATTCCAGTGTTCTTAGAGAGGATTTTCTGCTGTTTCTTCCAGTTACTAAGCCTTAGCTTCATTAATGTTACAAAGTTTAAAAGTTGGAACAGAATGTCGGTATTTACAGGGACAAGGTTACAGCGGAGCTTCATCTGTGCCAGGAAAACTATATGGTAGTCTGCAGTTAAAGAGAAACACCCCACTGCACTCTATGTTCCATCCCTGACTCACGTGTCTCTGCACTCTATGTTCCATCCCCGACTCACATGTCTCTGCACTCTATGTTGCATCCCCGACTCACATGTCCCTGCACTCTATGTTCCATCCCCAACTCACATATCACTGCACTCTATGCTCCATCCCCAACTCACATGTCCCTGCACTCTATGTTCCATCCCTGCCTCACATGTCTCTGCACTCTATGTTCCATCCCCGACTCACATGTTTCTGCAGTCTATGCTCCATCCCCGACTCACATGTCTCTGCACTCTATGTTCCATCCCCGACTCACATGTCTCTGCACTCTATGTTCCATGCCTGACTCACACATCACTGCACCCTGTGTTCCATCCCCAGGTCACACGTCACTGAACTCTATGTTCCATGCCCAGCTCACACGTCACTGTACTCTATGTTCCATCCCCACCTCACACGTCACTGCACTATATATTACATGCCCAGCTTACACGTCACTGCAGTCTACTCTCCATCCCTGACTCACACATATCAGTGCACTCTATGTTCCATCCCCGACTCACATGTCTCTGCACTCTATGTTCCATGCCCAGCTCACACGTCACTGTACTCTATGTTCCATCCCCACCTCACACGTCACTGCAGTGTTCTCCATCCCCACCTCACACGTCACTGCACTCTATATTCCATCCCCCAGCTCACATGTCACTGCAGTCTACTCTCCATCCCCAACTCATACGTCACTGCAGTCTACTCTCCATCCCCGACTCACACGTCACTGCAGTCTACTCTCCATCCCCGACTCACACATCACTGCACTCTATGTTTCATCCCCAGCTCACACATCACTGCACTCTATGTTCAATGCCTCACTCACACGTCGCTGCAGTCTATGTTCCATCCCCGGCTCACAAGTCACTGCACTCTATGTTTAATGCCTGGCTCACCTGTCACTGTATTCTATGCTAGAATACATGCCTGGCTCATACGTCACTGCACTCTATGTTCTATGCCTGATTCACATGTCACTGCACTCTATGATCCATGCCTCACTCACACATCATTACACTCTATGTCCCATGCCCAGCTCACACGTCACTGCACCCTGTGTTCCATGCCCACCTCACACCCTACTGCACCGTGTGTTCCATGCCCACCTCACACCCCACTGCACCCTGTGTTCCATGCCCAGCTGACACCCCACTGCACCCTGTGTTCCATGCCCAGCTGACCCCACTGCACCCTGTGTTCCATGCCCACCTCACACCCCACTGCACCCTGTGTTCCATGCCCACCTCACACCCCACTGCACCCTGTGTTCCATGCCCAGCTGACACCCCACTGCACCCTGTGTTCCATGCCCAGCTGACACCCCACTGCACCGTGTTCCATGTCCAAATCCTGTAAAGTGCAAGCTATCAGGAGCTGCTTAGGGATCATGGGGGTAGCTCACAGCTTTTGTAAATATTCAAAAAGAAAATCAGTGTTCTTCACATTACTGAAAGATGTGATGTGCAACCTACTGCAAACACTGTCGAAATGACTTTGTGCATCTCGATGGGTTGAGAGATTTGATGCAGTCACTGACTTCATAGAATTCATTGAGCCATTGATAGAAGCAATGATGACTAAGTCAGGCTAAAAGATTCATCAAACACATCCAATGAGGTAGACTGTTGCTCAGGGGCCATCCAGCTGCTGTGCATCCCACACTGCAATTTAATGCACCCTGGAGAGACAGATGCAGCATCCCCACTGCAGGAAGATTGGGAGTCTATGGCAGGCTGTGGCTGGACAGGGCTGAATGCTGTACCAAGTGGTCCTGGTATTTAGTACCACTGAGCTCAGGGAGGAAGGTCTATTCTACAACGTGAAATTATCACATCTTTCTGAGTGGCCACATTTGGACTTTGTCAAATGTTATGCCAGGTCCAGGGGCGGACTGACCATTTGGAAACTCGGGCACTGCCCGAGGGCCCGGAGTCAATAGGGGGCCCCATGAGATCCCCTGGTACCTTTTCCATAGCCTTCTTTGAGTTTGGGCAAGGACACAAGGACCCATGATTCCGTATTGCCCAGGTGCCCCATGAGTTGTCAGTCCGACCCTGGCCAGGTCCTTCAAAAACCAACTCTAAGGCAATAATAAGCTGATTACACAAGTCAAGAACTGGATGTTCTAAGAGCTGATGCTACAAAAAGCTTTCAAAATCTTTCTCAAAAAGCACCAGATATTTGTCAGAAGCTGGACATTATAATGTCTGTTCCATGACTGGTACAGTACCAATGCATGATTCATGACCCGGGCCATCCAGCACACGCCTTTCTCCTGAGCAAAGGACTTGCTGGTTTTACATGGAACATTTTTTGAAAGTTTTTGCATAGTTTACGGTGTTTTTAACCTCTTTTGCATGTGCATTTTATATTTTGTACATTTGTGCTCCCATTACTAGAGATATTTTGGTGTCTTCAATAAATATACACTCACTGGCCACTTTATTAGGTCCACCTGTTCAAGTGCTTGGTAACATAAATTGCTAATCAGCCAATCACATGGCAGCAACTCAATGCATTTAGGCAACAAGGGTTTCTCCATCAAGTGCTAATGCTGGCCATAGACGAGTCGAAAATCGGCAGCCGAAAGAATAATCGGCAGATTTTTGCACTATTAGTGGGTTAATATCGTCGGCCGTTTTTCGCGATTTCTCCTCTTTTGGATTATTGGTCATGTTGGAAAATTCGTGAAAAACAACCGATTTTCGCGGCAATGATGGGTATTCGTACGAGCGTTTTTACGAAAGGAATATGCACATGAGCCGTGACCTGGAAGGAAAAGAAGTTTCGCCCGTACAAAAATTATTTTCTGCTACCAAGCCAAGCACCATTATGGCAATTTTTCTTTTTGAGATGTTGCCGGGCATTTTTCGTACAAGATGTACAGATTTTTCGTGTGTACAAAACGATTGTAATGTTCGTTCCGTCAGGCTCTCTGTACAGTGGGTGAGGGTCTGAAAGGTCAAAAATTACATCATTTCCTGTTATATGTCATGATTTTATGACTTGGTCGGGCGATTTTTGTAATAATTGGTGATTACGTCGGTTTAACGAATGAACGATGTTTCGTTTTATCGGCCGAAAAACGGCTGATAAACAACCCGTCTATGGCCTGCATAAGTCATGTTTTGCTTGGGGATCAAATACTTATTTTACTCACTGAACTGCAACTCAATTTATAACATTTGTATCGTGTTTTTTCTGGATTTTTGGTTGATATTCTTTCTCTATCATTTAAAATACATCTATGATAAAAATTATGGACCCTTCATATTTTTGTAAGTGGGCAAACTTACAAAATCTGCATTAGATCAAATGATTATTTTCCCCACTGTATATACACTCACCGGCCACTTTATTACGTCCACCTGTTCAATTGCTTGGTAACACAAATTGCTAATCTGCCAATCACATGGCAGCAACTCAATGCATTTAGTCATCTAGACGTGGTAAAGACAACTTGATGAAGTTCAAACCGAACATCAGAATGAGGAAGAAAGGGAATTTAAGTGACTTTGAACGTGGCATGGTTGTTGGTGCCAGACGGGCTGGTCAGAGTATTTCAAAAACTGATCTACTGAGATTTTCACACACAACCATCTCTAGGGTTTACAGAGAATGGTCCAAAAAAGAGAAAATATTCAGCGAGCGGCAGCTGTGTGAACGAAAATGCCTTGTTGATGTCAGAGGTCAGAGGAGAATGGGCAGACTGGTTGCTGCGATATTCAGATAGTAGGGTCAGAATTGGTGTAAACAACCTGAAAGCACGGATCCATCCTGCCTTGTATCAACAGTTCAGGCTGCTGGTGTAATGGTGTGGAGGATATTTTCTTGGCACTAGCAAGGTGTAGCTAATATAGTGGCTGGTGCGTGTATTTGTATCATCCTTAATGGATTGGGAATCATTCATAGTGGTATAGATTTGCTTCTCCATGGATTTTTTTGCTTTATAAAGTTCCAAGACTGGTAGCGACCCAAATAAAAAGACCAAACTAAAAGGCTTATTGTCCTGACAAGTACTTTGGCTTACTAGTCAACATCCCAGATTTGAATTGTTTTATAACAGAGTTAAACTTTAAAGCAGAACTCCAGGAATTTGTTTTGTTCCCATGCAGTGGGGCTGTGCCCGAACTGCTTGGGTTAACTCAGCAAAGATACACTTGAGTAGAAATATAGGGGTCTGACAATGAATGTTCTAATATGTATAAGAGTTTTTATAGCAGTTCCTTTTTTTCTTCTCAAGAAATGTGATTTGAAGTGTATGAGTTGCAAACCTAGCCGGCTAGAAAAATGGTTAACTTCCTCTTTCAAGGATAAGAAAAGCATCTTATGGTCAAACCAGTTTCAACCAGCAACTGTCTATTTTGGACTGATCATGTGCTATTAACCTGCACTCAACTCTGAGTTTGCTGTTAACCATATGAAGATGTGATTGGATCAAAACCATATGACAACGCCTGAATTTCTGTACGATCACGCCTAGACTTTATGTATATATATGTCATAGTCTAAGGC